TTTTTTTTTTTTTTTTTTTTTTTGTAGATTTATTATTATTATTATTATTATTTTAAGGTATTATCCAGTCTTTATGAATATATTTTAAATAAAATATACATTTTTTTATTAATTTTTGTGAGAAAAAATGGTTTGTTTATGACCTAAAATTTGAGTTTTTAAAAATGGCTTTTATTTTCTTAAAACTTTTTTATTTTCAAAGCATGGGTTGATTTTTAAACAAAAATCAAATAACAACAAAATTAAATAATTATCAAATAAAATTTAAATTAATTAATTTTTAAAGTCTGAGACAAAATAGAATAACTGAATATTTTAAAATAATTAAGCGTATCAGACTATGGTACCAACACCTCGTACCTTCAATGCTATGATACAATTGAGCTTGACTAAGTCTTGAGGGTCACCAACCACTTCGAGCTGTGACGTAGTCATTAATAGTCGACTGACATATACGTATGAGTTGGTATAGGTACAAAGTCACTCCTCTATGTTTATGATTACGTATGCGACATGTAGATACTGGGTCACCGATAGAGCCATTTAGGATTATGCCGGATTCTAGTCATTTGCACGTTTAGATCAATTCAGCCTAAAAATTTGCATTCATAATTAGAACATATTAATTAATTTGGCATGTCCTTTTTACGATGTATTCTTTAAAGCTTTTTAAATTTGAGAAACGCAACTCTTAGATATACAATCTGAACACCGAGAGAGCTATCAAAACACACCATTAGCATTCTTGATAGCAATAGATCGAAGAAAAATTTAAACAAATGGAAATCAATCGGATGAAGTATCATCGAAGTAGTGCAAGAGTTGCAGGTTTGGAACGAACCAAAGATACAAAAAAAAAAAAAAAAACTATTTAATTTCTATTATGGAAGAATTAGTGTGATGTTTAGGGTTTAAATCAATTGCTCTCTCATTACTGGTTCGGAGTATTTTTAATCTTTTCGTAAATTCGATTTCGTGTTAAAATATTACATTTTATAATTTCTCCAAGAACAAAAATGTCTCGCTGTTTTTCGGAACCCAAAATTCAATCCAGGAGCAAGACTAATAGCAAAAGATTCGGGGGGCGGGCTGGGCCTTCGGCCAAATGAACATGATTTGATCAACGAAGCATGTTCTACATATTTCGTTCCCAATTTTATTTTTCAGTTCATAGATTTCTTCCTCGTTTCTCTCGACTCGAGTTTCTCTTTTCTACTCAATCCAACTACAAAAATCCGACAAGCCCCACTTTGTTTTCGTCGAGTGCAGAAGCCGCACTGACTTCAATCTTTCAAGCTTGCAACGACCATTCTCTTCTTCGTCAAGGTAAGCAATCTCATGCTCATGCCATTGTCAGTGGAATTGATCGAAATGGATATCTGGGTTCTAGGATTTTGGGTATGTATGTGCTTGCGGGCAGTCTCGAGGATGCCAAGAACATGTTTTATACGCTTCAATTGGGATGTTCTTCGACTTGGAATTGGATGATTAGGGGGTTTACAATGATGGGTCGGTTTAATTATGCTTTGTTGTTTTATTTTAAGATGTTGGGTGCTGGAATTTCTCCTGATAAGTATACATTTCCTTATGTGGTTAAAGCCTGTGGTGCTTTGAATAGTGTGAAGATGGGTAGGATTGTTCATGAAACTGTTGATTTATTGGGTCTTAAGGAGGATGCCTTTGTGGGGAGTTCTTTAATTAAGTTGTATGCTGAGAATGGTCACTTGAGGGATGCACAGTACCTGTTTGATAATATTCCTCAGAAGGATTGTGTTTTGTGGAATGTTATGCTGAATGGTTATGTGAAAAATGGGGACTCTGGTAATGCTATTAAGATATTTTTGGACATGAGACATAGTGAGATTAAGCCGAATTCGGTAACCTTTGCTTGTGTTTTATCGGTTTGTGCCTCGGAGGCAATGCTTGATTTAGGTACTCAACTTCACGGGCTTGCTGTTAGTTTCGGGCTGGAGTTGGATTCTCCGGTGGCTAATACGTTGTTGGCTGTGTACTCGAAATGCCAATGCTTAGAAGCTGCACGTAAACTGTTTGATATGATGCCGCGAAGTGACTTGGTGAGTTGGAATGGAATAATATCTGGGTATGTACAGAATGGTTTGATGAGTGAGGCTGAACGTTTGTGTCGGGGGATGATATCTGCAGGAATAAAGCCTGACTCGATCACTTTTGCGAGTTTTTTACCTTGTGTAGCTGAGGTGTTGAGTCTCGAACATTGCAAGGAAATTCATGGTTACATCATAAGGCATGGTGTAGCTTTGGATGTGTTCTTAAAAAGTGCTCTAATTGACATATACTTGAAGTGCAGGGATGTGGAAATGGCACGAAAAATTTTGCGCCAAAGTAGTTCGTTTGATACTGTCGTGTGCACGGCCATGATTTCAGGGTACGTGCTTAATGGGATGAACATAGAAGCAGTGGAGGCGTTTAGATGGTTGCTGCAAGAGAGAATGAAGCCGACTTCTGTGACGTTTGCGAGTGTCTTTCCAGCGTTTGCTGGCTTGGCAGCTTTAAACTTAGGAAAGGAATTGCACTGTAGTATCATAAA